CTGTTTAATAAATGGTATTGGGGAAACTGGCTAGTAATGTGCAGAAAGCAGAAACTAGACCCCTACCTGTCACCTTACACTAAAATTAACTCCAGATGGATCAAAGATTTAAACAAAAAACCTAATACCATAAAAACCCTAGAAGAAAACCTAGGCAAAACCATTCAGGACAAAGGCATAGGCAAGGACTTCATGACTTAAACACCAAAAGCAATGGCAATAAAAGCCAGGATAGACAAATGGGATCTAATTAAACTCCAGAGCTTCTGTACAGCAAAAGAAACCATCATTAGAGTGAACTGGCAACCAACAGAATGGGAAAAAATTTTTGCAATCTACCCATCTGACAAAGGGCTAATATCCAGAATCTACAAAGAACTAAAACAGATATACAAGAAGAAAACAACCCCATTCAAAAGTGGGTGAAGGATATGAACAGACACTTTTCAAAAGAGAACATATATGAGGCCACCAAACATATGAAAAAATGCTCATCATCACTAGTCATTAGAGAAATGCACATCAAAACCACACTGATATATCATCTCACGCCAGTTAGAATGGCGATCATTAAAAAATCAGGAGGCAACAGATGCTGGAGAGGATGTGGAGAAATAGGAACAGTCTTACACAGTTGGTGGGAGTGTAAATTAGCTCAACCATTGTGGAAGACAGTGTGGTGATTTCTCAAGGATCTAGAAATAGAAATTCCATTTGACCCAGCAATCCCACTATTGGGTTATACCCAAAGAACTATAAATCATTTTACTATAAAGACACATGCACATGTATGTTCATTGCAGCCCTGTGTACGATAGCAAAGACCTGTAACCAACCCATATGCCCATCAATGATAGACTGGACAAAGAAAATGTGGTACATATACACCATGGAATACTATGCAGCCATAAAAAACAATGAGTTCGTGTCCTTCGTAGGGACTTGGATGAATCTGGAAACCGTCATTCTCAGCAAACTGACCCAAGAACAGAAAGCCAAGCACTGTATTTTCTCACTCATAGGTGGGTGTTGAACAACGAGAACACGTGGACTCAGGGAGAGGAGCATCACACACAGGACAGTTGGGGGGGTAGGGGAGAGACAATGGGGGGTGGGGAGGGAAGGCAGGGTGGGGAGGGACAACATGGGGAGAAATGCCAGATACAGTATGCACCTAAAGTAAAATAAATAAATTTTTAAAATAATAATAAAAATTAAAATAAAATCCTTTACAGACAAGCAAATGCTGAGAGATTCTGTCACCACCAGGCCGGCCTTACAAGAGCACTGAAGGAAGCACTAAACATGGAAAGAAACAACCAGTACCAGCCACTGCAAAAACATGCCAAATTGTAAAGACCATCAATGCTATGAAGAAACTGCATAAACTAATGGGCAAAATAACCAGATAGCATCATAAAAGCAGTATCAAATTCACACATAACAATATTAACCTTAAATATAAATGGGCTAAATGCCCCAACTAAAAGACACAGAATGACAAATTGGATAAAGCTTAAAGACCCATTGGTATGCTGTATTCAGGAGACCCATCTCACATGCGAAGACACACTGAGGCTCAAACTAAAAGGATGGAGGAATATTTACCAAGCAAATGGAAAGCAAAAAAAAAAAAAA